CTCAAAAATATCCAAAGCCAAACAGAAGAATTCTGAATTTTCTACCACCTGGGGCCTTTAATGGCCTGTCAGCCTCTTTCCAGAGGAGTGACTAGTTAAGAGTTATATAAATGTGTTTAGATTTTAAACATTTTTTCTCAAAAAATATTCAAAACAATTCTACAAAAATGTGAATTAGCTATGTGATAGAAATGGCTCCATTTTATTGGAAACAAAACAATGAAAATCACTGAATGTAAACCACTGAGTGGGAAGATGACAGTGGGACCTGCGTGAAGAAAAGACCACAGGGAGCCATCCTCACCGTTTGGGATGCGCCTGCCAGCACCTGTCTGTGGACACGCTATTCTGCTTCTTTATGTGGGAACAATTAACTGTCGGGTAGAAGCACTGTCATGTTTATACTGCTCTGCAAATCTAAAGAACAAGCAGCCAAATGCAGATGGCCCTTGATGAAGTTCAAATAACAAGGCTCCTTGGGTACCGACTCCTTGGAATATGACAGATCATATCGTATCTTCTCTGACTGGGTTATTAGAAACAAAGCTGTGGCTTTGTCACTTCCCTGCTGGAAGCTCAAACCCCAGTGCTGGTTCTAGAGACCACACTGCAGGATGTGGGGAAGGAAGGGGTCACCAAAACATTTCAGAAATACTGCCCAGCGGAGGACAGGCCCAGCACTGGTCAGGATTTTTGTGCCTCAATCAAGAAATGTCCATTACATTTAATTCTTGGTAAAGGAGAAAGAACCCAAAGGGCCCTTGGGACTGGGTTCTAGACCACGAGGTCGCCCTGTGCAGCTGGGCAAGGCACTAGCGCTCTGGACCCCAGCTTACTCAACAGGAAGTGATGGTGGGGGGAGATGATCTCTCAGTCCCCAGAGTTAGAAGACTCTCTGGATGTCGATTTTTTATGACGCTCAAGCTTCCAGTCTTGGAGTGAGGTAACTTCAGCAAAAGATGAGCAGATCAAGCACTGTTCCCCTGGAGGTTATCTTGGGGTGCGAGGTCAGGGAGAAGCACCGTTTGCCTCGAAGGCCAGCAGCAAGGGCTGACCTGGGCCCGGTGGCATTAATTAGTTCACGGAGTAAGTCTGAGCCCAGGCGATGCCCACGTGAGAGTAGCAGTACAGGAATCCCAGGACAGAGAGGGTCACCCACGGCCAGCCTGCAGGGAGAGGACAGATGGAAGAGCCGTTAGAAAGGCCAGGAGCGGGACGTCCCATGGATGCAAACTGTCCCCCTTCAGATGGGCCTTGGTTTATGCATTAAGATACACACAACCTCTGGGAAAGTTTGCTCTGACTGGGACGTCGGCACGTTGAACCCTACATTCCCATTGGGGTCAGCATAAAACGCGGGGTGTGCTATCACAAATGCAAATTACGTTTAGGAGAAGGACTAGCTTTTAAAGACTACATATTTAGAAGACTAAAGCAGATAATAACCAAAAAAGAAGAAAAGACTAGGAGATCCAGAGTAAATCTCAAAATACAGGTTGACCATTACACTGAATTGAGGGCCATGGGTAAGCACACAGAAGGGAGAGCCAGAGCCAAACGCTGGCTTTCAAAACTCAATGCTTTTAGTGGTTCCTTCTACAAGTACTTACCTTAGAATATCTGATACTCTTTTCTTTTTTCTTTTTAAATTAACAGCCTTTTCTGCTGAATATTTATTTGATGCTTAATGATCTCCATGTTTCACTTATTCAGATATTTATTGGGAATTTTGGAGAGCCAGAGGTGCTGTGGAAGGTACTAGATGCCCAAATAGAAAGATCTAGTCCCGTGTCAAAGGCGTTCCCACTCTGGCTTGGAAAAGACACACACACACACACACACACACAGAAAATGAGCCATGTAATGTGTGCTAGATGATGATGTGTGCAGAGCACATGTAAACTGGGCCATGTGGGATGAGCAAGAATTCATCAGATGGAAAGGGACGGGGACAAACTACCAGAGAGACCACCTGACGTGTGAGCATCACAGGCCACCCAGGGACCGGGATGGTGTGATGTGGCCACCGTACAGGGAGGGGCGGGCAGGGTAGGTGTGAGGGGAGGGGCACTGAGGGTATTACATCTCTGCAGGCTTTCTTCTTGCTACGTCCACCATTAGTTGCTAATATGACCCGAGTTCAACCAGTATAGCGTAGTGGTTAAGGATGCAGGCTCTGATGTGGGATTAGACACAAATTCAAATCCTGGCTCTGCCACTTGCCAGCTGTGTGACCTTGAGCAACTTAAGAAATATCAAATGTAAAACTAGGAGGGATAGACAACTTACTTAATAGTGTCCTTATAAGGTACCATCAACTAAATGGGGTCTTCCACCCAAATTTATATGCTAAAGCCCTAACCCCCTATGTGATGGTATATGGGGGCGGAGCCTTGGGGAAGTTCATAGGGTGAGATGAGGTCATGAGGGTGGGGCTCCCATGATGGAGTTAGTGCCCTTATTAGAAGAGACACCACAGTTTGCTTCTCCTCCTTCTCCTCTCTCCATCTCTTTCTCTCTCACTCACTCGCTCTCTTTTTCTCTCTCTTGCTCATATAAGGACACAGTGAGAAGGCAGTTGTCTGCAACTCAAAAAGAAGGTCCTCACCAGGAACCAAATTAGTCAATACCTTGATCTTGGACTTTCCAGCCTCCAGAAATGTGAGAAATAATTGTCTGTTGTTTAAGCCACCCAGTCTATGGTATTCATTATGGCAGCCGAGCTGACTAGGACCTAAGGATTGCATGCAATGACGTAAAGAGGCCACGTGGTCCTTGGCCTAGGGTGGGCACTAAAGAGAGGCAGTAATAAGGGTCACAAGAGAGGGCACAGAAGTCTCTCCAACAAGATTAGAGTGACAACAGGGAAGTCGAGCCACAGTCTTCCTCCTAACTCTTGTTTTCAACTAGCTTCTTAGACTGGCTTGGCACAGGAATTCTCCCTGAACTCCTGAAGACAAGTGAGGGGAGCAGAGAACCCCGAAGAGCCTGACTCTGGGACCAGCTCTAAATCTTACCTCCTATCTGCTTGTCAGCCAGTATTTTAGTTTCCTGTGGCTGTTGGAACAAATTACCGCAAACTTAGTGGCTTCAAATAAACAGAAATGTATTCTCTCCCATTTCTAGAGGCCAGAAGTCTAAAATCAAGGTGTCGGCCATCTTTTCTCTGAAGGCTCTGGCGGAGAATTCTTCCTCGCCTCTTCCAGCTCCTGGTGACCCTGGGCATTACCTGACTTATGGCAGCATCACTTCAATCTCTGCCTCTGTCTTCCTATGGTCTTATTCTTTGTGTATGTCTGTGTCCTCTCCTCTTATAAAGACATCAGTCATTGGATTTCAGGGCCATCCTAAATCCAAGATGGTATTCTCTCAAGATCCTTAACTAATTTTACCAGCAAAGACCCTATTTCCAAATGAAGTCACATTCTGAGATCCCAGGTACACATGAATTTTGGTGTCACCATTCAGCACAGTACATCCAGATACTTTTTCAAGCTTCAAAATAGACCCATCCTGCCTGGAGGCCCTCAGATCTCTCACCTCTGTGGCTCAGGCATAGATGCCAGGGAGGGGCCCTATCGACGCCTACTCCTCAGTGGGCTCGGGGAGCATGAAGAAGGAGGGGACTTCAGGGACAGGAAGCACTTCCAGACGTCAGCTGTGCTTAGGGTGAGGCACCAGCCGGTGTTTAGTAAACACGAAACCCAAAGGCTGGCTCTGGAGCCGGCATTGGCGTGGGGTGGAGGGAATGTTTCATTTATGTAAAGCTGGGCCTGGTGCTTCACAGTTGTGCTTGGACATCCCTATGAAAGCTCTGCCCAGCACACGGAACTATAAGGAAAAATGTCCCGACACTGCCCAGAGGTGAGGCATATACACAGTCAGTTTGGATCACAGCTGGATCCTGAAAATTCTCCCCACTGTTACTTGTGTGCCAGGCAGAGAGGCAGCTACACAGATGTGTAATCTTGATTCTACCACGAGACCCTAGTAGGGTCCTGGTTTCTTCATGTATGCAATGGGAGGTCAAAAATAAATAAAAGCATATGAAATAAAATAAGATCACAGTTTTGGCAGTGTTTTTAAGAAGTGTTCCAGAAATGCAGAGGATTGCTATAGGATCACCTGAGGATTCTTTTACACACACACAGATGCTAGCCTTTTGATGCACGAGTGTTCCCTCAGACAGTAACCCTTGTGTGTCCCGGATGGCTGCCAAGGACCCCTTATCCTTTCTTGACAAAGAAAAATATAGATTCCATAAGTCACCCCTCCACAGTATTCAATCAACACTTTCTGAGTATCTGCTGTGGGCCAGGCCCTGGCCTAGGCATTGATGTCACCACACGTAGGTAGCCTATAGGTATAAGGTCTTTGACTGTGGTGGCTGCTAGCCAAGCACTGATGTGGCCCAAGTGTGTGTGTGTCTGTGTGTGTGTGTGTGTGTGTGTGTGTGTAAGGCAGGGGGTTGGGGGAGGGCACTTGGAATAGAGCCTCCTCTTCATCAGGACTTGGATGAGCCCAGGATCATAAAACTGAAAAGAAACTAGAATGGGAGGCCATTCTGGCAGCATTCTGAGGGGTGCTATGATGTACAGTCACCCAGGCTTGTCAGCCGTTAACAAAAAAGATGGCATCAAAAAGCATTCTGTCCCACCAAATGACCTTATCCCTCAGCCCCCTCTCCCCCGGGCTTTCTCCACTCTGTCCTCCCCTTCCACGCTCTCCTTTCTCGCCAGGACTGCCAATGCTAGTGTCCAGTCAACTCTCATTTCCCCACATCCCCGGTGTCATGCGTGTGAGACACACACACACACACACACACTCCATTAACGTGGTTTATAAAGCCTGGTGGGCAGTATGGTATTGGTCGAAGGAAAAGAGGGTATTTTAGGGTCGAAGCCTCCTGCGCGCTCCTGGGCCCCCAGAGTCAATGAGGTGGGTAGCTTCCCAGTGGGCTTTTGATACCTGGGCCTCACAAGATCTAAACAGGTAAACAGTTTTAACAGCTGACAATGAGGGAGTAGTAAAGATAGTATGAACAGGAAGCTAGCAAGTCAGACAACAGTTGTTAAAGATTAGTTAATGTAGTTAATAGGACAGATTATTTGACAGATATAGCTAGATGCGTATAAGTTGGATGTTTAGCACAATAGGTTCAATTAGGAAGATCGACGTAGATGGTGTAATAGGTGGAGTTATTAGGATGTAGGTGGTTGTATCATACTGTTGATAGGATATTGGCAAGTTGTGTAATAACTACGGCTAATGAGAAACAGGTAGGACACAGAAGGAAATGATACAACTAATAGAAAGCGAGCATTATAGCTTTATTTGAGGTTATTATGGCTAAGCAATTCTCCAAGCAATTCTACCAGTCTGAAAGGACTAGCACGGCAGAGGCTCCGGACGGAGAACAAAAAGATGAACATCAGGCAGGGACATGAGAAGTCAAAGGACATGTCCAGCTGGCTTTCTAGAAGGTAAGGGGATAACCAGAACAAGAAGTGGGTCTAATGAAAAACTCTGTTTAAAAGGTAATGTAAGACGGTGCAGCCACAGCGGAAAAAAATACGGAGGTTTCTCAAAAATTAAACATGCAATTACCAAATATATACCCAAAAGAGTTGAAAAGAATAACTGAAGAGAGATGTGCACGCCCATGTTCACGGCGGCATTACTTACAACAGCTAGAAGGTAGAAGCACCCCAAGTGACCAGATGGATGAATAAACAAAATAGGGTATATATGTGTAATGGAATATTTCTCAGCCTTCTAAAGGAAATTCAACGCATTACAACATGGATGAGCCTTTAAATGACGCGAGCCAGTCATAAAAGGACAAATATTGTATGATTTCCACTTATAGGAGGCACCTAGTGTTGTCCTATTCATGGAGACAGAATAATGGGTACAGAGTTTCAGTTTTGCAAGACGAAAAATGCTCTGGAGATGGATGGTGGTGAACGTATGTAACCGCACTGAACTGCAGTTTAAAATGGTCAAGATGGTAAATGTTGTGTTATATATAATTTACAATAAAATTTTTTTATTCTGAGTGAAAGAAGTCATCGACACAATACACACCATATTACTCCATTTCTGTAAAATTCAAATTGATTTATAGTAACAAAAAGCATGTCTGTGGTTGCCTGGGGGCTGGAGC